ACGAGTGGGGGGGGAGGGTCAAAAATCGTCCAAAATCGCGTGACGTCATTTATGGACGGCCCCATAGCCATTCATACCGGCATCGAATTAAGGATGGCTGTGGAAGGTCACTCCTCTGCTGCTGCCCCCTGTCGTTTAGTATGTTCTCCTGATGTTGTCCACGCTGCAGTCTCAAACTCACGACCTTCGCGAGCTTCTCCAGCTTTGGCTAATTGACGACATTGTTCGCACCACTTTGCATACCCGTCAACCCATTCATCAGTGGCCTTACCTTATAACAGACCAACTCAGACCTTTTTGGTCACCCCGTGCCCTTATAAATCTCAACGTTCATCCTACAAAAATCCCACCACGAGGGAGAAACACAAGCAAATGGACAATGAAAATGTTGCCTGTGTTGAAACGGATATGCGCCGTATGGACTTAAAAACTGAATTTCAACGTACTAAAAAGAATACGGGGAAACCGTATGGGTTGACAGGTATGACGTTGCAACATTTTCGTCTCCGTTTTAATCATCTCTCCCCTCCCTCTCCTTGCACTGGTCGCATAAAACCAAAGTGGCCGTTGTTGCCAAAAAATCACGACACATCACAGTGCAGATCACCATCTGCGCGGACTCACACACACACACACACGTGGTGTGTCTGTCACACGACTGCTTGATCTGCACAACATGTGTTTTTGTTTTGAATTTGTTCTGGGTTATTTTTTTTTGTTTTGCTTGCCAGAATGCACTGTTAATACACGCGTATGCTCCGCACGTAATCTTGAGATGTTTAGCCATTTAGACGCTATACGCATTCCAATGATCGCATCATGAAGTGTCTCTCGATGAGCAGCGCATTGGTCACGGAGTTTCGAGTGGATTCAATATACGCCAGTTAGCCGCACGTTTGTTTTACGTAACAAAAACACAACGCATTCGTCAATAACGCTGCCCTAAACGATGTACGCATATTTAGTTGGTGGCGTTTCAGGCAACGGCCCTTTCTCCACAGCAAAGAGATCTCTCATTTGCCCTTGTGCAGCACTGCCAATGCAGTATCCCCTTAAAACGTTGGTTATTCTTGCATACAGCAGTTCCAGCTGAGCGTTGGATGGATTTCAGGATGATACACGAATGAGATATACAGCCCTGCTGCGACCAACAAACAGCCCAGTGGACTGCGTTAATAGACCACGTGCCTGGAAAGGTGTGCTCTCGTTTCAATTTGGTCAGCACATAAGACGAATGGGGCCTTTATGAATTTCACTACGCGCAACTTCGTTGATTCAAATTAACAAATTGAAATCAAATACCAGTTCGCACATTGCATCCTAGTGTGTGCGTGTGTGTTTTGAACCGACTGGGGGCCTGTAGCATATGTTATGAAGGGGCCCTAAATAGAAAAAAAAGATAAATATTAAACCACAAATGTTTAACGTGCGTAGTAAAGTAATAGTTTTTTTTTTATTTGCTATACAGCCAGATAATACGACAAATCGTTAAACTTAAACACCCAGTCGTTCGTAAAAGTTGAAGGTGGTAGAGCACTATAGTAATAGAACAAGGGGCCGTCCATAAATGACGTCACGCGATTTTGAACGATTTTTGACCCCCCCCCCCCCCTCGTCACACGGCGTCACAAAAAGTCAGACCCCCCCTCAAATATGACGTCACAAAGCTCTGCCCCCCCCCCCAAAATAAAACATGCTTCAAATCGCTTTAAACTATTGTCATTGTACAGTAGTGCGTATTTAATGCGCCGCTGCACTCTGATCTTGTAGGAGAAAAGATTTATAAAAAGTAGATTTAAATAAGTAGAACATGTTGTCTATATTTATCTAAAGTTGCATATTTTGATGTGACGTCACATTTCTCAAACCCCCCCCTCCCACCCTCGTTACACATCGTCACACATGTCTGACACCACCCCCCCCACCCCCAGGTGCGTGACGTCATTTATGGACAGCCCCCAAGTGCAGAATCACTGATCCGGAATTGATAGCTTGAAAGCATTTAGCGCCGGGGCCCTTGAAAGTGCGGGGCCCGTAGCTACACACACGTGCAGTGACACCACGTGATGTCAACGTGCAGTGCCGGCCCTCGAGAGGCACTGCGTGTGGTGTAGCGACATCGCGGACACCACAGCTGTGTGGGTGTAGTACCGGCCCTAGAGGGGCCCGGTGAACGCTGAGTGACAGCGCCGGATGGCACCACACTTGGCGTGCGGTGCCAGCCCCTACAGGGTAAGGTGTGGGAGTGCCGGCCGTATGAAAGGGGTTACTAAAGGCCATGGCACTCCAGTTGACCCGAGAGGACACGTGACCGGTCAAGTCTACAAAGGGGCCCCAAGTGGGGGCTTCGGGGCGGTCACGTGGTCGGGGTCCAGCTCCTGCTGGAGGGATCTGGAAGGCGGTCGTGGCCAAGGGCGGAGCCAGCCACGCCGCAGAGGATGTAAGCCGGGTCCCCCAGAGGGATCAGCTGCTGTTGTTCATCCTGAAGAAGCCTTCGTCGACGTTCTACGAGTCTCCAACACGTGGGCCTGGACACGAGCTGTGGTCCTGGTCCGTAGTAGCTAGTTACGTTGTGATTAGTGTAGTTAGCCTGGTGGTCACCACCCGGCTAACTACACCAGTTACGTTGTAACTAGTGTAGTTAGCCTGGTGGTCACCACCCGGCTAACTACACCAGTTACGTTGTGATTAGTGTAGTTAGCCTGGTGGTCACCACCCGGCTAACTACACCAGTTACGTTGTGATTAGTGTAGTTAGCCTGGTGGTCACCACCCGGCTAACTACACCAGTTACATTGTAATTAGTGTAGCTAGCCTGGTGGTCACCACCCGGCTAACTACACCAGTTACGTTGTGATTAGTGTGGTTAGCCTGGTGGTCACCACCCGGCTAACTACACCAGTTACGTTGTGATTAGTGTAGCTAGCCTGGTGGTCACCACCCGGCTAACTACACCAGTTACGTTGTGATTAGTGTAGTTAGCCTGGTGGTCACCACCCGGCTAACTACACCAGTTACGTTGTGATTAGTGTAGCTAGCCTGGTGGTCACCACCCGGCTAACTACACCAGTTACGTTGTGATTAGTGTAGCTAGCCTGGTGGTCACCACCCGGCTAACTACACCAGTTACGTTGTGATTAGTGTAGCTAGCCTGGTGGTCACCACCATAGGTTGTTATTCTGTTAAGGGGACGTTAGCCAGTGTGTTGGAGTTGAATAAATGTGTTGCGTCCATGTCGACGGCTGCGACTCAGTTGAACTCACTTCATATGCAGATTCTTTTGCCACTAGGATCATCCGGTACTGCATGAGTGGGTGACGAGGCTGCATGATTCCGTGGGCTATTTTATTATTTCTACAGGACCTTTTCGCCAGTATCCAAAATGATGAGAGGTAAGAATAAGTTATAACCCTCTCGGCTGGTCGGTTCGCACGCTTTGCCACAAGTACGTGTGGTCACTGCGGGCTTGATGCCTTGCAAAAGGAATCTAATTGGTGTTTGAATATCTTAACGCCTAAATTTTGATTTAAAGCTTTCGTGACTGCAGGGATTCATATTCTTGGTTCTTTCGGTAAAGTCACGTAGAAGGGAAACAATTAAAAAATATATATGAAACAAGAAAATTATCACGACGTTTCGACTGCAACACAAGCAATCAGCATCAGGTGTGAAAACCACAAATTTTATTGGTGTGATTTTCACACCTAATGATGATGATTGCTCGTGTTGCAGTCGAAACGTCGTGAGAATTTTATTGTTTTATATATTTTTTTGTTTCCCTTCTACGTGACTTTACCGAAAGAACCAAGAATATCTTAACGCCTGTTTAATTGCCAGAAAAGGTGAGACCTATTATTTTATTATGATGCATGTTTAACCAGGAAAAGCCTCACTGAGGCGTACAACTCTGCAAAAAAATGTTTGCAGAAGTGGGCGATGATTTCTGTGTATATTCCATTTGAGTTATTTGCAGGTATTTTCCTTTTGTTTGGCAAATATAGGAGATGATGGTGCATGCTTACGGTGAGAAATTATGGTGGGTTGGGGGAGATTATGGTGGGTGGGGGAGAGAGGGTGGTGGTGGTGGTGATGATGGTGGGTGGGTGAGCCCTGAGGGAGTGTGAAATAGTGAATGGTGAGGGAAAAAGGGAGGATGATTTGGTGGGTGATGATGGTGGTGGCGCTGGATGGATGGGTTATCGGGTGGGTAACGAAGATGAGGGATGGTGGTGAGAAATGGTGAAGTGGGTGACTGCGTGACGAGGGTGGGTGACTGTGTGACGATGGTGAGTGGCTGTGTGACGAGGGTGAGTGGCTGTGTGACGAGGGTGAGTGGCTGCGTGACGAGGGTGAGTGGCTGCGTGACGAGGGTGAGTGGCTGTGTGACGAGGGTGAGTGGCTGTGTGACGAGGGTGAGTGACTGTGTGATGAGAGTGGGTGGCTGTGTGACGAGGGTGAGTGGCTGTGTGACGAGGGTGAGTGGCTGTGTGACGAGGGTGAGTGGCTGCGTGACGAGGGTGAGTGGCTGTGTGACGAGGGTGGGTGACTGTGTGACGAGGGTGGGTGGCCGCGTGACTAGGGTGAGTGGCTGTGTGACGAGGGTGGGTGACTGTGTGACGAGGGTGAGTGGCTGTGTGACGAGGGTGAGTGGCTGTGTGACGAGGGTGGGTGGCCGCGTGACGAGGGTGAGTGGCTGTGTGACGAGGGTGGGTGACTGTGTGACGAGGGTGAGTGGCTGTGTGACGAGGGTGAGTGGCTGTGTGACGAGGGTGGGTGTCCGCGTGACGAGGGTGAGTGGCTGTGTGACGAGGGTGAGTGGCTGTGTGATGAGAGTGTGTGGCTGTGTGACGAGGGTGGGTGGCCGCGTGACTAGGGTGAGTGGCTGTGTGACGAGGGTGGGTGACCGCGTGACGAGGGTGAGTGGCTGTGTGACGAGGGCGGGTGGCTGGGAAGCAGGGGGTGGTGGGGGGGGGGGGTCCTTGAATTAAACGCACTCCGGCAGGTGGGGGCGCGCTCACGCTCATCCTGCACCGCAGCCACCACCGCGCATCGCATCACAAGGCGAGCAGAACGTGACCCGAGCCCTCGGCAGAACGCGTGGGCGTCGGCGTCGTCAGAGGGGCGGACGACACAGAACCGAGAGCAGCAGCAGCAGCAGGAGCAGGAGGACTCATCCGCAAAGCGGTTGAAGAGGAAACCTGGGGTTCGAGGCAGGCTCGGGGAGTACGAGCGAGGGTGCAAGCTTGGTTGGATCGACCTGGTGGTGGTGGTGGGTGGGGACGGGGGCGAGGAGGAGGTGATCCGCTATGATGCCGCTGCTCGGGTCCGAGATGCAGCTCCTCGCTGCGGGCGCGCATCCTAGCGCGCTGGCCGGCACCTCGCCGCTCGCCCTCGCCCCGCAGCCCGTGTGGCGAGTCGTGGTCTGGGAGTGGCTCGACGATCAGCAGCCATCCCCGCTCGGCGCGCCGACGACGCAGCCGACGCAGCAGCCGCCGCCGCAGCAGCCGCATAACGGACAGCAGCAGGCGACGACGACGACAACGCATCAACAATCGCAAGCGTCAACGCAGCAGCAGCAACAACAGCTGCAGCAGCAGCAGCTGCCGGCTACGGTGTGGCGAGCATACAGCGCAGCGGTGTGTCACCACATCGAGACGGTCCTGCGTTCGGGTGGTTTGCAGGGCGGCGGTGGTGGTGGCATGCGAGGTGGCAGCGTGGGTGGTGGTGGTGCTGGCGGGGCTAGCCTCGGAGGCTCGGGCAGCGTGGTGCTTGGTCAGGCCGACCCGACACTGTCGCCCTACATCCTCGACCTGCAGAGCATGCAACAATTCCGCCAGGACACGGGTACGTGGTGGCGAATTCTCTTTTCGCGACTTTGTCACCCGCGTTTGTGTCTGTCTGTCTGTCCGTGTCTGTCTGTGTCTGTCTGTCCGTGTCTGTCCGTGCCCGTCATTCCACCGTGACCCCAGCCATGCGCCACCGCCGAAGCAGACAAATCCAGTGGAGGGCATTGCCCGCTCACACGGTCGTCGACATTGCATTTAAATCGTTTCAGCAGCAGATGATGATGACGACAATGAAGCATGGGTGGTGGGTAAATCCTCATCCTCCTCCAATACGGTCGCTTGCAGCGTCCCAAAGGCCGTGGAGGTGGCCTCTGGCTCAAATCGCGTGAAGTGCCGCTGCGTGCAACGCGGCGGTGTGCGAGCCCTTTTTGTTTTTGCCCCATGCGCAAAATGCACGAGTCGTTAAAGCTCTAGCGGTAATGCTCTCGCCGCCCCCCCTCCCTCTCCCCCCTCCCTCTCCAAGCCTCGACGCGCGTCTGACAAGAGACTTCGTTCGCGACGCGCGCCAGCCGTGCGGTGCGCGTCGCGACCGTCGCAAAGTGACACAAAATAAAACGTCGGCAACGCGGACCGCGTGCCGGTTGCGAACTCGCAAGCAGGCATCGTTTACGCATTGACGGAGCGGCAAGCCTCCTCGGGTCGGCGTCACTACACTCCCCCCCCACCACCACCCGTGCGCGCGCGCTCCCGCAACACCACCAGCACCACCACCGTCATCATCATCACCACTCGAGTATTTTCCAAACACAAAAAAACGATTGTAATCTTCTGTCGCTTGTTGCTTCCGTTACGGATTTTTTTGTTGTTGTCGTTGTTGATTTCTGACCATCCGCTTCCACCACCACCGCCGCTCCTCTCTCCCTCCCATCATCCTCACCCCCTCCCCCCATGCTACTCCGCACGCTTCCACCCCGACCGCATCAAATGTGCGATTGCGCACAGAAATTAACGTGAATCGTAAGCAAACAAGCGTTGATTGTGTCCCGAGCCACGATAGAAGGGCGTTTGCTCGGAACGTCGTTCGTCTGTTGCCGTATTCGCATTTTTGGGCGGCGTTACGTTGACGAACGGCAGCTTTTGGGTAAATTGTGAAAGCCTATTTATTGCGGCGTGATCGGGGTGACGCTCGAGCAATCGTGACACCTGTGAATACGTGGGCAGAGCGTGCCCGAGCTGTGTGTGGGAGACAGCCAGCGCGAGAGATCTGCCGATGCTGGCGATGGTGGGTGTTGCTGACTGTTATTCGCGTCACGTCTTAGACGCGTGCGTGCCTTGCGTAGCAACGAACCCCTGATCCTTCTGGCACTGCTCCGTTATTAATATTCATAATCAATGCGCGCCCATTATGCGTGGAGAGAGGACCCCCCCCCCATTTTCTGCAAAATCTTTCGGATGAGCATTGATCTGCGCTATGGCTGTTTAATTACGAGCAGACAGTTCGTCGCAGCGACGCATGAGCCACGCGGACGGCTGAACGACTCATTCGCCTCTCGCACGTTTCGCGTTCGACGGCGCACGAATCGGGCGAGAGGCGGAGCGAAAGGTGGCGTTCGTTCTCAGGGCTCTCTGTCTGTGCCCTTTGAACTTGATTGGGTTGCGTCGTTTTGTGTTATCGAGACGTTGCGAGGTGACCAGGAGATGGCAACGTTAAAGGGATTGAGGTGTGCTCGGTGGTGGCGTTTGCTCTAGCTTGTTGCCCACGTGAAGCCAACCACTCGCCAATGGAATCGTGCCAAGTGTCCCAATGTAGCAGGACGCTCCTGAGAAAGAGTCTTGAGACTCGGTGAGGGTCCGCACTATTCTTATAAATATTATTTTCTTAGTCAGCGTTGTTACTGGGGCTGTTTGGAGAGTACCATTAGCCTCGTGTTACACCGTGATGCACACACATATGCCCCCACTATTCCCACCGCGTCTAGAGATGACGTTGCATGTAGACGTTATGCAAATCCAAACCCATGCCCTGTTTTATGTAAACTGCAAGTAATAATAATTCTATTTTATAATGTACATTCCATCCTAGGATTCCAATTCGCAACGCATGAAAAGCAGGAAACAAAAACAGAACCAGGGCAATCGACCAAACTAAAGAGGGGAGGCCACTTTAAAGAGACTCCGATTTTCTGATTTAGAGTGGCAAAGCGTTCCATAGCCTGGGTGCCACGATAACAAAAGCCCGATCGCCAAAAGAGTGCAACCTAGACCTGGGAGTGATAAGTAGTTGGAGATAAGAAGATCTTAAGGACTTTGATGGAATATTTAAATGTATTAGTTCCTGCAAGTAATGTGGGGTGAGCCCCTTTAAAGCCGTATAGGTCAATAACAGTATCTTAAAATCCACTCGGAATTTGACCGGTAGCCAATGAAAGGATAAGATGACTGGTGTAATGTGCTCACGGAATGGTAAACGTGTGAACACTCTAGCAGCTGCATTCTGAACAAGCTGGAGTCTACCCTGTACATTGCTCAATATCCCAACCAGGAAGGCGTCGCAGTAGGCGAGTCGGGATAACACAAACGCATGGATCAGTCTCCCCCAGTCAGCCGATGACAACGTAGCCAGCGCAATGCGATGGACGGGGCTCTCCGTGCGACAGAGATGATGAAGATTGCGAAAGATTGACAAGGGTCTGTCATGGACACTCAACCGCCAGTTATGAGGACGACACCTATCGAGGCCTAGTGAGCTTGCTCCACCACCTGCAAGCCTCCGCAGCGGCAACAGAAGCGGCTGCAGAAGCCACGTGCAAGTTGGCGCCACAGTTTACGCAGGCACCTGAACGACGTTGATGAATTGTGCAAAACTGTTTTACGATGACCCCACTCACCTCCCCTGTGAGCAGAGATGCGCCTTGGGGGGGGGGTGGCGGTAATGGTTAGCACCCGGGACTTGCAGTCCAGAGGTCACCATTTGGATTCGATCCATCGGCATGGAAGTTCTAACAATGGGTGAAAGTTTATGTTCTTGGTTCTTTCGGTAAAGTCACGTAGAAGGGAAACAATAAAATAATAAAAAAGATATATTTTAATAAAATTATAAAAATATATATTTTTATTATTTTATTGTTTCCCTTCTACATGACTTTACCGAAAGAACCAAGAATATGAATCCCTGCAGTCACGAAAGCTTTAAATCAAAGGGTAAAAGTTGTTGAATCGCACCGCCTCTGTCCGCCCGGCAGTATAAATGAGTGCACCACAATTAGTCGATCGGTAAGTTGTGGTTCGTGTGTGCTGCGGGATTAAAGTGCGGGCAATCTTATTGCTTTCCGAGACGTCTGACCAGCATAGAAGTGTAAGTAAGCAACATAACCCTCTAGAGAGGGGGGGGGGGGTCTATCAGGAGTTACCTCTAATGGAGGCCCTGCTGTCAGCAGTGAGAATGAGCCGGACATTGCAGCATCACACCTTTCATCTTCACATTGTGTGTGTGTGTGTGCATCCGCTAGAGTTGCCCGATAACTCATCTGACCCAAAGAAATGTACGCTTGTATGTATACTGTATGTTGAACTTCTTTCGCAACCGACGTAGCCAGCCGTGCTAATCGCAGCGTCGGGATAACGCGTGGTAATGCATTATGGCATGAACCCTTCGTGATTAATAAGGGATTAGATAGCAGCACTGTAGGTTGGGATCTCCGTACGTCAATGGCAAAACTCGTTCAGGTGCTGAAAGCCATGTGCGTTATCCATAGCACCACAGAAATTCGAATTAAAGAGTCCCTTAGATCTAGAAATGGGGTGTCCACTTTGTTTATGGGTTTATTTAAAACAATGACAATTGTGCACTATCTTTTTTTCACTATTTTGTTTTCATCAGTGCATATGCAACCTGCTGTCACTAGAATTATAAATGTGGGAAATTAACAAATGAGACTGAACAAATACTGAAGAGTGCGCAAAGACCCCTGGAGAGATGCCTGTTTGGAATTACTCCGAAAGACAGAAAGAGAAACGCATGGATTAGAGTGCATAGGCAGGCCAATAAGAGCATTCGAACTTCTACATCATTAGACCTCCTTTGCCAGTACCAAAATGTAATAATAGGGTTTTTCCCCTTTTTTTCTGGCAACAAAACTGAAACCTTTTTACAAGAATTCATGTCTGCATTAACCACAATACCTGCAGTCAAAATGCAAACAAAAAACATTCTATGATAATATATGCATTGTCCTTGAAACTGATTGGTCCACACCAAGGGACGGCTTTCTTTTGAGCCTCGACCCAATTGGTGCTCGACCAGATGACACCAAAAGGCTGCTTACTTGCAAGGGGTCAAAATAATCGTATTTTCTACTTGTCAGTGCAAATAAAAGTGTGCATTGAAAAACTAGGTTTTTTTTACCAAATGTTTAACCGAATGTGCTTACTGTACGTCTGCATATGTTCTATTCAACTAAATTGCAACTGTGTCATCTCGGTGAGGTAGCATGTCAACATCTGAATATATTGTGGGGCAGTTAACGGGCAGCCACGAGGCTGTCGGTTGGGGCAGTTAACGGGCAGCCACGAGGCTGTCGGGGCAGTTAACGGACAACCACGAGGCTGTCGGTTGGGGTAGCTAACGGGCAGCCACGATGCTGACGGTTGGGGTAGTTAACGGGCAGCCACGAGGCTGTCGGTTGGGACAGTTAACGGGCAGCCACGAGGTTATTGGGTGGGGTAGTTAACGGGCAGCCACGAGGCTGTCGGTTGGGGTAGTTAACGGACAACCACGAGGCTGTCGGTTGGGGCAGTTAACGGGCAGCCACGATGCTGACGGTTGGGGCAGTTAACGGGCAGCCACGAGGTTGTCGGTTGGGGTAGTTAACGGGCAGCCACGAGGCTGTCGGTTGGGGCAGTTAACGGGCAGCCACGAGGCTGTCGGTTGGGGCAGTTAACGGACAACCACGAGGCTGTCGGTTGGGACAGTTAACGGGCAGCCACGAGGCTGTCGGTTGGGACAGTTAACGGGCAGCCACGAGGTTATCGGGTGGGGTAGTTAACGGGCAGCCACGA